ATCATCAAAACAATCCAATTTCTGAATTTCTTGGTGAATTTCTTGTGACTCTATTTCTTTCAGAATCAGTGGACCAAATCTCTCATGTTTAGCCTAGGGGGGGCCTTATTTTCGGGATATGCCTTATATTTCACTCAGAAGGAAACACGGAGAAACATGGTAGGACTCAGGTTTCCCAAATCTTAATACTATGCTTTTTTCTTTCTCTATTCAGATTGCTTAATGCACATAAGATACATAGGATAATAACTTATCATAAAGGTTTTTAAAAACATTCCCAAATTTTGGAATATCATAATCATAATGTTACTGAACTCAAAGGGTTCCCTGCTTCAGGTGTCCTATTCAAGAACAAAAAAGATCTGGCTGTTGCAAAGTAATTTTATTTACTTGTGCCAAATAAAGGAGACCGGGGATTCACATCCAAAGCTCTGTCTTTCCAAAGGGAGGCTTAGTCATTGCTTATATACACTATTTGGTTGATCACATGTTGATTTCTTCTTTGCAGTTGGCTAAACTTACCCTGTTGGGTTCAGGTCAAGTTTATCTGGTTACAACGGGCTCTGCAAAATACTATGCTATAGCTTAACAGTTAGCAAGAACAGCATTCAGTAAGAACCACCCAGATCTTGAGACCTTTTTCCTAACAACGCCTATCCTCACTCACACAAGATACATATGATAATAACTTATAATGATTCTTACTAGTGAAAACATTCCCAAATACTGCAACATCGTACTCAGACTGACCCCAGGGGTAGGATTACATTAGTACTTACAAAGCACAATAATTAGCTAAGTAAATATTAGCTGTTTTTGTTATTAAAAACCATGTTAGAGGTGATATAGTGCTGTAAAGAAAAACATGGGTTTTGAAATTGATCCCCCTGGGCTTAAATCCTGGCTCTGTACACCTATCTCATTAAGTTGCATGTAAGGTTTTTCAAGAAATATATAGCACAAAGGCAGTGCTATATATATGGTAGTCACTATTATTATTTGGTAGCTCTACTATATATATAATTTGCCCTCAGTTAAATGGTAAATAATGGATATAGACTGTAATTTAGATCCATATACCTCTTCTAGAAATGTCGTTCTAGGTTATGTCAATTTTTCTTACATTCCTAAAATGTGTTTTATCTCCTTTTCATTTAATGAAATTTATATTTACTCTCCTTTACCTAACTGAAAACCCTTTTTAAAATCAAGTTATAAAAAATTTCCTTACAAAAATCTTAACCCTAGAAGTTCTCAACTATTAGGTACTCAGTTTATGCCACGCATGCACATTGGTATTTGTAAGGCGCTGTTTTGTGCGGAAAATTGTTTTTCCTTTCTAGATATATAAGTCCAGACATATTCTAGAAGCCAATTGAAGGTCCCCTATTTGAACCCTGCATTTCTATCAATTTCTTAATTTACTCAACAGTATCTGGAACTGCTATAACCCAATGGGCTGTTAGCAAAATACCAACGGACAAGCAGGCATTCCCTGTAGTTCATTCCTTTTTTTTTTTTTTTTTTTTTTTTTTAAATAAAGATGATCTAGTCAAAGTCTTTCCTCTAGTGGAGACTGAGGATTTAGTTGTATATTCTAAATGTTTGTCAGCTTCCACTCTTAGGAAGAACTAAAAATCAAGGTACAGGTATTTTTATTATTATTATTATTATTATTATTATTATCATCATCATCTAGAAACAGGACCCGAGGCGGCCAGCACGAAGAGGAGTGGAGAGGGTGAGGGTGGGTGGGGAGGAGTCTCTATATCTTCCCGGGATAGTGTGGTAAGAAAGAAGGAAAAGGTAAGCAGACTCCATGGGTTCTAGGTTTTGTTCTCCCCCCCCTCCCCCACTCTCCCCCTGGATGGTGGTGGCGGCGGATCAGACACAATACAGACACAATAACTGGCAGCCCCCTCCAGGGGAGGATGAAAATGACCCTCAACAGCACCAGCAGGAGGACTGGGAAGGGAGGAGGGGTGTGCTTCAGCATGGGCGAAGAGGAGGGTCACGAGGTGACTGACACTCGCGGCCGCCGAGGCGGGTGGGTCCGCACGCCGCTCCGGGTGAGAGGGGAGCTCGCCGGCCACCTCCCCGGAGAGGGGGTGGGGTGGGAAGGGGAGCCAGAGGGGCGGTGGCTTTTCCTACGGGGGGGGCGGGACAAAGGGTGGAGGGAAGCTTGAGTCAGCAGCTCCCGATTGGCTCGTGCTGCCCAGACGCGGCTCCCGATTGGGCCGTTTGCAGCGGGAGATGTTGGGAGGCGCGGCGGGGCGGGGCGGGGCCGGTCCCGGGAATTGGGTGCCGAGGGCCGTGGCGGCGCTCCGGGCCCTGGGGCGCTGGGACCTGGAGCGCGGAGCCGCGGAGCCTCCTCTCCTCCTTCCCTCCTTAGCGCCTAGCGCGTTCAGCTGTCGAAGGTTTAAGGAAAAAAAAGGGGGGAAAGTGAATGAATAACGCCTCGCAGCTACCCTCGTCCCCCGTTACCAGGAGCTATTTTGCCGCTGGGCATGAAAAGACCCTTATCTTGAAGCCCCACGTCACCTCGCAGCCTCTTGCCCCTCCCGCTGCAAAAAAAAAAAAAAAAAAAAAAAAAAAAAAGGGTGGGGGTAAAATTCACCAAGACTTGCCCCCCTCAGCCTGGGACCCGTGGTCCCTCGATCCTGCGCCTCTCTCGGTATCATTGTTCCCCTGCCGGGCTGACACAGAGCCTCTTCCCAGGAATAAGCCCGGTTTCGGGGCGCTCCGGCTCAGCTTTGGGGGGGTCGGAGCGGGCGGGGGAGGTTTTGTGTGTGCCTGCGCTCGGGGAGGCGCGGGGCTGGGGGCGTGAGGGCTCGGAGGTCCCGAGGCGCATGGGGAGGGGGTGGCCAGCAGCACCCCCTACCTACCCCCAACCCCAGGCTAATCCGCCTTCTCCTCCAGCGCCGGCTCCCCGGGCCGTATTATTCAAGACATAAAATATTCAGCCCCAGAGCCTCCCCTGGGGAGGGGAGGGGAAGGAGGTGGAGTGGGAGGAGGTGGATCCAGGGAGGAAGAAGCGAGAGAAATCCGCCCCCGGGAAGCGGCAGCGCGGCTCGGCGGCGGCGGAGCGCGGCGCCTCTGTCACTGGGCGATCGCCCGGCTTCGCGCGGCCCGGCCCGGCGCGGGCGAGGAGGGGAGCGTCCGGCCGCCGCCGCCCGCCCACGCCCTCCGCGGCCCGGGGCCCGGAGCCCGGGGCAGGGAGCGGCGGGGCCTGGGAGCGGCCGGCCGGGGGCGGCGGCCTCGGAGCGCCCGGCGGCGGCGGCGGCGGATCGGAGCAGCTCGCGCGGAGCCGCGGGGCGCGCTGTCCCGGGCCGGGCCGCCCCCGCGCGGGGCCGCTCGCCCGCTTCCTCCGGTGCGTTTCCGCCTGACTTTCCGCCTCCACCGCGAGGGCGCCGCTGGCCGGGGGCTGCTTTCCTCCCGCCGCCGCGGACCGGCCCGCCCCGCCCGCGGAGGGACGGAGGGCCGCGCCCGCGGAGGAGGGAGCGGCGGGCGGAGGGAAGGGCACAAAGGCGGCGGCGGCGGCGGCGGCGGGCCGGGGTCCGGCGGGCCGGGCCGGGAGGAGGGGCGCCCCCGCCGCTCATGAATATTAACCGAGCTGCGGCCTAGCGCCCGGCCGCCCGCGCACACCCGCGTCCGCGCTCCCGCCGCCGCCGCCGCGCCCCGCGGACGGGAAGGGGGAGCCCCCACGCTGGGTCTTCCGCTCCCGGGCCCCCCGCACCTTTTCTAACCTACATAGTTGGGCCGCCCTTCCCCGGAGATCGAGCGCCCCGGCCCGCCTCTGGAAGGGGCGGAGGAAATCGTGGTAGGTGGGTGGTGGTGTTCTTTTTCCTATTTTTTTTTACCCCCCATCTAGGCGGCCACGGGGAAAGGAAAAGAGAATGTGGAGTGGTCGTTTGGGGGAGCAGCAACTACATGGAAGTTGCTCGGGTCGCTCTCGGTGGAGGTGGCCCCGGAGTCATGCCCGGGAGAGGGAGCCGCGCCGGGTCCGCCGGCCCCGCGCCGTCCCCACCCCGCCCGCTGCGGGCCGGGAGTCGGCCGCCTCCGGGGGCGCGGGCCGGGCGCCCCAGCCACCCCGCCGCTGGCCGCGTCCCGGGCTGGCTTTTTGTTCTTTTTCTGGGCTGGGCAGGAGGGGAGCCAGGAGGGTTTTTTTGTTTTGTTTTGTCAAGTCTTATCCCATTTTAGTCTCGAGGAAAGAAAACTTCCCGTAAGTGTACCTAGGTGGGTGATGCGGAAGAACATACGCGCGCCTTCTCTTCTGCACAGAAAATACCTTCATTGCATGCACTTGTAAAGGGAATGTTGTGTTTTGGTGTTTTGTTTTGTTTTGTTTTGTTTTTTTTCTGGAAGGCTGCACCACAGCTAGGCGTCTTTTGTCGCCACCGCCACCACCAGCGTGCAGTCCTGTTGTTTCTTCTTTCCCCTGATTTCTATACGCTCCACCCGCTCCCCACGGGAGAGGCTTATTTCAGCTTTAATGTGTGCGGCTCCTCCGCACGGGGTCGGAAGGCCTTCCCAGGTGTTGGGAATGCGCGCTGGGGGCAGGCTCCTGGGCAAGGCGAAGGTCAGCGCCGGAAGAAAGTTCACGCCCTTTAACTTTTCCCTGTTCCAGGAGCGGTCTCCGGGGAGCTGACGCCGGAGCCTCCGCGCCCCACTCCGACTGCACCCGGGCCCGGGAGGAAGGGGACCGCTCTCTGCAGTTGGCCTCATTTAGCTGCCAAGAAGCCGGCCTTTTGTTTTTGAAGTCTCCAGAAATGGACGAGGACGGTGCAGTCCGTTGAAGCCCCGAGGAAATCATCAGGGCATCATCCTGCGGGGGAGCTTCGTGAAAACATTGCCTCCCCGGCACATTATCTGTTTCACCGGCCCTGCCTCTCCTCGGAGCCCGGTGTGGAATTATTACCCTTTCTGCTGTGGGGCAGCATTTCCCCCCCGCCCAATGTGGACCTTAAAGGATTGGCCCCTTCTTTGTGATTTGAAATGAAATGATGGCCACACGTCGGACTGGTCAGCCGGAGGGAGATGGTGACACGCTGAAGGCCCACGGGCCCCCCGCCTGTGAGGTAAGTGCAGAGGCAGCATCCCCGGCCCTGGGTGGCCTGGGTTTATGGGGGTGCCCTCTCTTGGGACGGGGGGGGGGGGAAGGGGGGGAGAGGGTCTCCTCTTGCCACCGGGCCTAAGGAGAGGCTTTTAGGGGCTTTTATTTTAGCTGCATGGTGGGAACACCCCTGCCTGACGACTGGCAAGGTGTAGCCTCACCCATTTTTATTTCCAGGAACTGCCAGTTATTCCTTTGCAAGAAAGTTTTCCTCACTTTGAAATGTCACCTTCTTAGTCACCGCTGGGGCTGAGCGGGGAATTCTCCCCTTTCGTTTGTCTGGGAATTCCAACACTTGTTTCCCTTCAGTCGCCATCCTCCATCCAGTACCTGCGGCGTTGGGCTGGAGAGGGGATGGCTTTGTGGATTTGGGGTGTGCACTTGCAGGCTTGTTCTCTGGGGTGGTGGCTGGCGGTTGCTGTGCTGGTTGCTCCTGAAGCTTCCCCTCTGATGCCAGTGGGTGTCCTGGCTGCGGTTGATGCGCATCTCTGTTTTGGGTAGAAAAACCCGTCTTTCCCAATGGGCATGTTAGGCACAGCCCTGGAAAACTGCTTCATAGAATTGTAATTGCACCTCCCTGAAAGTCGCCTGCCTTCACATATAGTTCCTAAGGCTCCCAGAAGTCCTGTGAGCTGCTGTGGGGTGCTGGGTGGCTTGCATTGCCTTCAGACCAGCATCTTGGGAAAGGCCCAGAAGGTTTCATGCCAGGCTCTTTGAAATGTTTTGAGCAGGCAGGACAGAATTAGTAGACAACCCATTGATATGCCCTGTTGCCTCGTATCTTTGTTTCCATTACATTTGGAGTTTACTGCTGTAATGACTATATTGTGTTTAGTTTGATATTGATAGTTTTCTGTAATTTGCTTGCTAAATGTACTGAGTACTGTTATCCTTCTACACTTTACTTTTGAACTGCCTATATTTTTATTGAAAGGGTGAAGGTTACTTTAGATAGCAATAGCATTCCCAAATGAGCCTTCACTCGCGTTCATTTTGGACTTCAGTGAAGTGTTAAATTTTAACTTTGTGGTCATGAAAACAAGGTCTAGTTCCAAGTGTGTGAGTTTTGGCATTTTAATAAAAATGAGTCAGAAGTATGATTTTTGTTTGTAAAGCATGCAAAGAAGATCGCATCGTGTAGTAACTTCATATTGAGTTAAAAAGTGCCTAGAAAATAGGGAGGTAGGTATAGTACAGTTTATAAGAATGATAGGTTTACAGTTACAATCAGTGTTTTACTTTTTGACACCTGTAAACACCTGCTTGCAGGTAAAAAACATGGTTAAGTATAATGCCACAATGCTCTGATCATGGTAAACCATAATCACTCCTTTTGGAAGGTCTGCCTACAACTGATGATTGCTTAATGTGTATTGAGTTACATAATAATATATACTAGGGTCCTAAAGCCTTATTTGTCATTGTCTTGAGAATACTTTAATTAGCATTCATTTGCATTAATTTGCAAGAACTAGTGTTATTTGAATTTTTTTTGGGGGGGGGCAGGGTGGAGGGCATTTAAAGAATGTCCTGAAATCAAGAATTTATAATAGACACATCTTGTCCTTGGCTTAAAAGGCAGTGTTTCCAGTTGCAAACTTGGCTTTTATTAACAATGACAGTTATGTATTTTTTTAAGGGCTGTGAAATTTGTTTTCACTTGGCCCTGACTGCTGGCATGGCCATATTATTTCTAATCTGGAAATCAAGGAAGCATTGTATTTTGCTCATTTAAAGATTATACACATACTTGAGTGTAAGTATCAACTTTGGGTGATAGATACTTAAGTCTTTGAACACTGCACTTAATTTTGGTGCTTAATTTTATCTGAAGTATTACATTCTAGTATAGTATTGTCATTCTTTAAAAACTTTAAAACCAATAGCTATGTTGTAAATGTGTGTTGGAATAATGTATGTGTTTTTACCTAATCAAGAGATGAGCTTATATGTTTTAATGTTAATGCTTTTTATTAGTGAAAAAGTGTAACTTTGTAGAATGGAAGAAATCCATGTAGTGAGTTAATAGGATTCCATGTTTCATGTCTTATCTAATTAGCTAATTCTACCTTCTATGAATAAGATTTATTGCTTTGTTGAAAAATAATCAGTAATTTTTTTTATTCATCCTAAGAATTAGAATCTAATTGTGTCGGTATACCAGTAAATGTAGGCACACCTTCAAGAATATAGTGGAAGGCTAAAAAACAAATAACAATCATCCTATGTAATAAAGAATTGTGACAGTCCAGAAGACTGTTAGATTGGCTTTATACAGTGATAACGCATTGTGTTCACACAAAGTTATATACTTTGCCCATTGAAGATGTATTTTTCAAAATTGGTTTCTCTTATTCTGAACCAGATAAGTGTTTTTTGTTTATTTGTTTGTTTCTGTTTGTGTGTGTGTGTGTGTGTGTGTGTGTGTGTGTGTGTACTATTTGACCTGGGAAGTACTCTGACACTAAGCCTTGAGTAACTTTGCTTACAAAATCGCTTTGTTAGACTCTCTGAGTCCTCTGATATTCTCTCCCCATTTTATATCATCTAGTATTTGTCCTTTGAGGCTAAACTTGCTTTTTCTTCTTTCTTTTTTCCAAAGATGAAAACATTGGCTTTCAGCTTTCTAGACACATTATTTTCCCATATCAACATTTACTTCGCTTTTCATCCGTAGTTCATAGTGTTGTCCAAGCGTTCAGCAATATCACCATATTATTAAAATAAACTTACTAATGCTAATTAACTTATTTTATGTTTTGCTTCTTCACCTAGACTAAGTTTATCCTATGACTATAATGTATTATAGCTGATGAAAAATATTTGTTGATTGATTTTGGACTAGTGTACATAATAAAAGAAGCCATTTTTGGTACATGGGTTCATATAAAAATTTGTATTTTTGCTCTTCTTTCTGGAATACATTCTATACACTTTGCTTTTATCCCAGATTCCCTTGTTCCTTCTGCAGCTCTCCCTCCATATCTCTCCCTCTTGCTCTTTCTTTCTGTTTTTAACCAGCCCCAGGCCCTCCCAATTCCTCTATTCTCTGTTCTCATTCCCTGGGTTTCATTTTACATTCTCCCTGGCTTTAACTTAGTGTATGTCGTGATTCCAAATTAGCGCTCTTTTGCAGATTTTATGCTTTATCTCCAGACCTGTATAGCCAATTGTTGTTTACCAGTGGTTTTATTTTTTTGGATAGCCCACAGGCATTTCAAACTCAGCAAATTGTTGTTCCCCTACCATCAACCTGTGTTTCTTCTTTTAGTGAGTAGCACCACTATCTCCTTATTTGTCCAGGCCCGAAACTAGGTTATCACCCCTGACTCATCTTACTTCTCTTTCCTGCTATCCAAAGTCCTATTGAGTCTACATTCCAAATCCTACTGTCACTACCTGAGCTACGGCCAGTTACATCTCCATGGTGAACCAGGCCAGGCTGTCTTCTTCCATCGCTCTGTCCCTGCCACAGGCTGCTCCTCCTGCAGTGGAAAGCTGATCATTGCATTTTCTGGTTCCCCATTGCCTTGGGAATAAAGTTCAGACCCTGAGAAGTTGCACCGGACAATGACTGTCTGGCTTGCCCATCTCCTTTTTCATCTGTTTCCTCTTTCTGTGTACATCCTCCACGGAGCTGCTTTCAGTTCCCCTGGGGCATCAGCCTCTCTTCACTTCTGGTCCTTGTCAGTGCAGCTTTCCTTCACTCTTCCTTCAGTCCCCCTCCTCCACCTTCACCTCTCCCTAGCTGATTTACTCATCATTCTGTACTTTTCTTCAGTATTTTTTTAAAATATATTTTATTGATTTTTTTTACAGAGAGGAAGAGAGAGAGATAGAGAGTTAGAAAACATCTATGAGAGAGAATCATCGATCAGCTGCCTCTTGCACACCCCTTACTGGGGATGTGCCCGCAGCCAAGGTACATACATGCCCTTGACCGGAATCGAACCCGGGACCTTTCAGTCCTCAGGCCGACGCTCTATCTTCTGAGCCAAACCGGTTTCAGCACTTTTTTTCAGTATTACTTCTCCAGGGAAAGCCTTCCCTGATCTTCCAACAATGGATTAGTTCCCCCTAGTGCAGTATCCCAAGACACCTTGTGCCATATTAGGAATAGCACTTAAAAGTTTGTCTGTATTCCCCCTGATTGCAAGCCCCATAAGAATAGGGACCATGTTTGTTTCTAAGTGTGTGGTACATAGTAGGTGCTTTAATAAATATTTGTTGAATGAATGAATGAGCAGGAAAAGTCTTAATTTTTATTGAATGTTCACTTAGATTTCGGTACACTATACTCTCTTGATTACCCTCCTACTTTATTGTTTCCTCTTTCTCGATCCCTGAGTGTAAAACTGCTATTTTATATATGTATGCATGCATGTTTATGTGTCTTTACCCCTTGAATTCAGACTCCCATATCCAACTGATCTGACCACACAGAAACTCCACTTGGATATTAAGTAGATTTATCCAAAACCAAATTCCTGCTTCTCTACATCCCTCCCCCCCCCCCCCCCCAACTCCCCGCCCCACTCTACCCCCGCTCACCTTCCCAATTTGCTCCTTCTACAGTCTTTCTCATCTTGAGCAATAGTAATCCACCCTTCCAGCCCAGGCATCTGGGAGTGATCTTTGATCTCTCATTTTTCTCAGGTATAGCATGCAAGTCTAGTTGACTGGTCTCTCAGCCATGGTAATAAGAGTGGACCTTTTAAAAAACAGATCATGTCACTGCTTTGCTCATATTCCTCTAATGGCTTCTCATTTCCCCCAGGATAAAAGCCAAAAAAACTTCTGACTGCCCCACAAAGCCCTACACAGTCTATGCTCCTCACCTCCAGTTACTCCCCCTCTCCCCCCCATCCCCCTTACTCTGTACTGGGCGTTCTGGACTCTTGCTCTTGCGCACACACACCACACATGCCATTCCCCAGAGCCTGCCCACTTGCTGTACCCTCTCCT